TATTCCTCAAGTGGACAGCATCTCTGCAAATGCACCCACAAACCAAATACAACTCCCTGTGTACATCACTTCTAAGGGTCAGAATGTGTTTTAATGAGTGGTGAATGGGAAAGTCCGAATGCAAATGTTCTATATTTGCTGTAATGAAAAACGCTTTGGCTTTGTGAGATAAGACGTTCATGCTAAAGTCATCGGGTTGAAAGGGCATATAGAAGATGACATGTGTGACTACCAATAATCAAAATAATCAAAAAACTATTAAAGCATGTACAGAGCAATAGTCGGGTTACTTTATCTATCTAATGCCTGTAACACCCCTAATCTGGTGATACTTAAATAAAATGGATGGATGTAAGTGCATGCATAAAGGATGCACCAATGGTTGAATGAAATTGAACCTGGGGGACGTAATATGGTTCATTTTTTAAGAATATATGTAATTATGAAGGTCACAGACTACTACAAACAGTTAGACCGCAACTGTGTGTCTCTCTGAGAGGGCTGCTAACAAGTCATCACTTCCATTACTGATCCTTCAATTTAAGAGCCACTTCTGTAAATAAGTTTCATTTATTCATTAAATTCTAATCATCTTAAAAAAATTCAGTCCAATGCAGTTTTAGATAACCCTTTAATCAATGGCCCAGCAGGACAGAAAACCTTAGTACCGTGTTTCAAAGCCAGAAAAATATCAGGACGATAAGATAGTGGCTTTATGCCAAAAAACATTGACTTTATTTTAATTTAATATCTTATTTGATTGAAACTGAAATCGTTAATGATACATTGATTTACTTAAATTATTCAGCATCAATATCAGGAAGAAACTTCAAAAGTAGATTTGCATTTTTACTTGATCCTTTGAGTGACAAAAGAGTGAAAAGTAAAAGTTTCAAACTGTTATTTCTATGGATATCCCAAACTCTGTTCATCCATTCCTCATCTCGGGGACACAAACATGTTGTTTCCTAAAAACACTCGGATTACACCGAGGCCCAATTTCTGCATTTGAATGGACTGACCTTTCCCGGAGCCGGGGGCACCTGCAGTCCTCGGGGGGGACAGATGGAGGACCAGCACTGTGTCCTCCACACTCAAGTCTGTGAAGGCAACCAATAACTTTTCAAAAACCAGAACAACAATTCTTTGATTGTAAGTTACTTTACTTCACAGTGTTGTCAGGCTCGTAAATTAGTAACATATGCCAGCTGTCCAGTGTTTGAGCCAGATGTGTAGAAACACAATACTATTTCTGTTCATGCATAATGACAACAATTCTTGTGAATGTTTTCCAGTTCATAATCAAGGACTGGGATACAAAATGATAGGATTATGTTTCAGAAACGGCATGTTTTATCACTCTCCTCGAAATGAGCCAGACTACAGCGCTGAAGGCTCTCTGGTTTGTGAGGACCGCGTCACACACGGCCGGCGTGAAAGCAGCTTAGTGAATGTGAGTGTGAAGTGAGTGCTGCAGAAAGCACAGCAGGTGGTCACGTGGACAAGATGTTGCTGTCAAATTGTACAATCAGTCAGTAAACGATATCAATTAATCTCACATAATTTCTACTCTCCTCTATTTCACCTTAAAGGTAGGGTAGGTACATTTGAGAAACCGGCTCGCTAGAATTTGAAAATACACAACCAGAGAAAATCTGCCACTTCCTTACAGAGCCCCTCCTCCAACACACACGAACGCGCACATGACCAATGAGGGCACGAGATAAGTTTGTGCACAGATGGAAGGCTGACAGGCAGGTAGGCCATCCAGTTATTTTAGCCGGGCCGGCTAAAATGATTGGTCGTACTTTTTACAGTATTACGGCTTCCACAGATGACATTTTGTTATGGATTTTTTGTCAAAGCACTTAAGATATTCATTGCTATCGGGATGTTAAGAGCATTCCATGGAATATAACAAAAAGTGTATCTCAAGCCGGTTTCTCAAACTTACCTACCCTACCTTTAATATATATTCTGTTTCAATGCAGTCATGTTTCTCTATAAAGACTGAAGACACATTGGAAACTCTACAACCTGTAGTTGTGAGTGTGTTTGTTTCAGCTCCATGCAGGGCTGGACTCAAGACCAACTTAATCGAGTTCAAGGCAAGGTCCAGTCCTGTCCTAGATAAGACCAAGTCTAAATAAACAAAATGTAGACCAAATAATATAAATATAAGTAAAAAGAAAAACACTCCACAATAGCCGTATTCAAGGTTCAAGGTTCAAGGTTCAAGGTTCTTTATTGTCAATCTGACATAGCTACAGAGTAATTATGCAGTTGAAAATCTTATGTCACAGGCTTCTCCAACAATGCAACATAATAACATAACATAATAACAATAAGAGCATGAGCAATACAAAAATAATAATAGTTATAAAAATGAAATAAAGTTATGATGTGGAATAGTGCAGTATGAGTCTATATACAAGTTATTGGAATGATATATATATATATTAGGTATTAGATACATACTACTGAGTAGCAGTTGAATGTTTGAAGTTGTTTCAACAGTTCAATTTTTTAACAGTCTCACTGCCCGCGGGAAGAAACCGTATTGTTACCTCAGGCACTTTATCTGCTCTTTGCACTTTCTGGTTGGATGAAAACTGCATTTCGTTGTAGGCCTACTCTCTCCAATGTGTCTAATCTGAATTATATCATACTTCATTTGCATCACACCTTTCCTACGGGTGAATGCAAGTCAATGTGTGACTTATTTAAAGTCAGCACGAATGTAAACATTGCATGTACTGATAGAGACATGACACATGTACAGTGGCGGCTGGTGGAAAATATTTTAGGTGGGGCTGTGGAAATGGCGATCAAACAATACCAGGGGGAAATCTTTTTGAGAAAAGACCCCCTAAATTATGACTTCTGGTGATGTTAGAGGGGGGGGGGGTGGAAGGACAATTTGAGGCTTAAAAATATGAGAAGACTGATCAATACCTCCATAACTTCAGTGTGGTTAGCTATGAATCTTCCAAAACTTCCAAACACCTTGTCCTGGACATAGTTTCTACAGCATAAACTGTGCAACAGTACAGTAGGCCCACACAAACTGCAGAACACCGGGGCTTTGGGAACACTCAAAATTACTTAAAATTATTTAATTCCCATTTAACCTGTTAAGGGGCTTTTTCCCCCCCGTTTTTTTTCTCACGAAACTGCGTCTCAGGGCTTCTTAAAATGTAATAAACTATTCATGTGTCCTACTCAGAGGAAACGCAGCTAACTGATGATATGAACCATGTTTACCGAAACAAAACACAAGTCTCACAAGAAGCGTCTAAATGAGCCCTGAGCGAAAAAATGCTAACGCACTCTAGGTATAAATCAATCGATATACTTATCGGATATGCACACACACAGATTCTAGAAATATAAGTATCATCACTGAGCGATCAGAACTCGCGACAGCAGGGGAAGCAAATACAGACATCACACGAAGTAGCTTTAGGTAGCAAAACACGGAGATATGCTCACCTTTTGCAGGATAACAATTCTGATCAAAAACGAGAAAAACGCAGCTGAAGGTTAATCCTTAGGTTAATCCAATGTGTCTGTCACTTTGAAAAATGATTGATGATCCATAATTCCATTTTTATGTCAAAAACTGAGTTTTCATTAGCTGCTAATGGTAGCTTCCAGAGTGTATGACAGCTTCCTGTTTTGTCTCCTTGGATACGAGTCCAAACACCTCACAGACTGCACCGGGCGCTGACGTAGGCGCCCTGTGACCATCAGATTTGACGACGCTGATTGACTGAAATTATGTTTCGGCGGCATAGTTTAAAGATAGCAACAGTTGGCTTCTGCTGCACTTGCTGCACTCTCGTCTGGGCGCTGTGCATAGCGCCCAGACGAGAGAGGGTAATGATACACGGGCAAGGCCAGGCAGGAAACATGTGACTTATCAGTAACTTTAGACATCGTAACACAATTTTAAACGAGATTTTATTGTAGATTATACATTTTACTGATACCAATTATATAATATTTACCTTGTTTATTAAAAAAATAAATTAAAAAAATATATATATTATTTAAATATATTTTTTTATATTTTTTTTATTTTTAATGTGGGAAGAGGGGGGGCGGCGCCCCTAGCGCCCCTATGGGCCGGCCGCCACTGCACATGTACAATAGCAGATATACAAGATGATGCAATGTAGATATTGTGCATGGTAAGAAAGCAATCGACCAATCTTTCAACTGAAGCTGTGTTGCTCCACTGGATCCAACACATACTATGTTCAGTTTTACCTGCAAGGCAGAAAAGTGTCAGGTTATAATCCGAATAAAGTGAGGTGACATTTAAATAATTTGGCATCATTGTAGTTTTATAATCAGCACTGACGACGGATTTGAGCAACCTGATTTATGTTGGTTTAAACTCCCCCCTCACTCAATTCTTCAATTGAAATAGCTTTATTAGCATGAACAAAAACAGGTTGCCAAAAAGGATTACAGGAGAGTCTAATCTAATCTCAAATACATGTCACTTTAAAAAAAAATTATATTATACTGATGCAGTCTTTTCTACACAATACAATTTGATATAGTAGCCTACCCTAATTAAATGCAGACACTTAATATTATAGAAATCCCTTGTTTCAAATGGCTGCTTTCGCATTAACATAATGGTATTTCCAAAGCACTGTGCAATTACAACAGACATCTATAGGCTACTATAGATATACTGTATATTCTAAACAATTTAAAAAACTTCAACCAAACAACTAATGTGAGTTACTTTGCAAGTCAATGTAACACCTCGTAATATGACAGTGCTTGAAATCATTAATTGCATACTCTCTCTCTTTGGCTCAACACATGCTTGTCCATCCCTGTCACGACCACGCATCTGGTTGTGCGGGGGGGGGGGGTACACGGTGTCTGTGAGTCGGTGGCAGCCTCGCGGGTCCTATAAAAGCCTCTCCGGTCGCAGAGCGGCTCAGATCCTCCGCTCAGGTGCGCCTTGCAGACAGACAGAGATGCGGGTTATGGAGCGCACCTTCCGAGAGCAGCTCTTCTTCCTGGTGTTGAGCCTGTCTGTCCTCAAGGGAGACACCAGATACATCGAGGTAAGTGCTTCAAACTTTTGGGTAATTTCACTTCTGTACAGATTCACATTGAGGATGTCGTTTCACTTTGTGTGAACACTTTCCCCCCTCCCCCTCTGCAGAACAACGAGATTTCAAAAGATGAATTATTTTCATTTTTCAACTCGGAGCTCAAGAGAGAAACACCTGAGGAATTCATTTACCGTCGACCCTTAAGTAAGTCAATTTAAATCTATGTTTTTTGTTGTGCCTATATCTGAGGGTTATAGACTTAATGTGTGTACAGTATGAGCAAGATATAATCACATGCTTGCATTTTTCATATCTTAAATGTAATGTCTTTATAATTGTTTTAATTGTCAGTTTTGAACAGAACAGACTACTCCCTTTTCTCTCAAGTTTAGTTTTCAGTTTGTTTTATAAGGACATGTACATGCACATAAATAAATAATTGCAATTAAATGCAATCTCTTGATATACTTAAAACATTTTCTACCTGCTGTTTTCTAGTGGTTCTGTCAGTGACAGTGATGTATTTTAATATTGCAAACTGATGTCTCTGTGTCAGGGTGTCTGGACATGGTGGCAGTGGAGGGTCAGTTCACCTTCACAGCAGAGCGTCCTCAGCTCAGCTGCGCTGTTTTCTTCATGGCTGAGCCCAACGAAGTGATCAGTGTGGATTATGACAATGTTGACATCGACTGCAGGGCAGGGGACTTCATCACGGTAAACAAACAACTTCCCACAAATAATCCAATTACCCAAATCCTCTTATTTGTTCAAAAACAATCCAATCAAACAGCATAGTTCTTGGACATGGGGCTAAAATAGCAAATTAAATCCAAAAAGATATAGCTGTTACATGGAAACATTTCCTTACATCTATCTACAGTATAATGATGTTTATATTCAGTCATCACGGTAAGGTTAGCTTTTTTTATATGGCACATCAGGCAAAATAGGGAATATAACAAATGCAACAAAAACAATATAACTCATAAAAGATAGAGAGGATAGCTAGTTAAAAATCAACACTTGAAATAAGATTCTGCCAGAAATGCAGAGCTATAATATTATTATATCTTTAAATTACCTTGGGAATATCAGTGATAAACATGAATGTTTTTAGCCCTAATGTAAGAAAATGTGTGTGTTTATGTAGAGCCTGTGTTAGTTGTCATGCTTCCAGACGCGGGTCAGTGAACCTGCTTGACTAAGCTTAGAAACACTTCCTGATTAGAGAAAAAGCTCCTTTACCATAAGGCAATTGTACATAACCTGCTTACTCACAAAGCACGCTGATACTCTGCATGCCAAAGTTGTCATGATAGTCCAGTGAAAACAATAATTGCATTCGAATGTGACTAAATGATACAAAACCCTGCTGAAACCACATGTGACTGTATCTGAATACTCTCCTCCGGTTGTCCCATGAAGGTGTTTGACGGCTGGGTGATGAAGGGAGAGAAGTTCCCCAGCTCCCAGGATCACCCTCTGCCTCTGTACGAGCGCTATGTGGATTACTGTGACTCTGGATCTCTGAGGAAAAGCGTGCGCTCCTCTCAGAACGTGGCCATGGTCTTCTTCCGCATTCACAACGCCGGCAGCAGCTTCACCCTAACAGTCAGGAAACACATCAACCCTTTCCGTAAGTAGTCACATGCATAAGCAAATAGAAAAGACATACAAAAGAGCTTTCAGTCATCAATTGAACCAACAAGGGATAGTTTGCCATCAATACATTTCTGGATTAGGAACATGATCACATGGCAAATACTGTCTTTCAGGGAAATATGTACCTCCAAATGTGTTGATTTCTCTATCAAACTAAAATCACTTCTACCCATGCTTTCATGATAGATATATCTTGAAGCTGCAGCTTTATATTTAGTGTTACCAACCAATTTCAATACTTAGAAATACAGTTTTCATCTTGTAAATATGAGTTTTGTTCTTTTTCTTCTATGGAAAGGTTGCTCATTACCAAAACCTTTCCCTTTTGTCAATATTGCCATTCATTTGCAATGAACTGTGTGCATTTCTGTGTATGTTGTACCTGCTTCACATTGAGAATCAGGAAACTCCTTGTAACGTCCTTCCCTTTGCCACTTCTTCTTCTCCCTGCAGCCTGTAATGTCATCTCCCAGTCACCAGAGGGCAGTTACACTATGGTGATCCCGCAGCAGCACAGGAACTGCAGCTTCTCCATCATTTATCCTGTGGCCATCGACGTCTCCGAGTTCAGCCTGGGGCACTACAACAACTTTCCTAAGGTAAAAAAACACATTGATTTCTGAACAACATCCACTTTAAGATTTATTTTGATTATTTCCTTACCTTATTTTTCCCAAAGTGTTGGCACTCCTCCAGCACCTTCAAAAGAGCTTACTTAAAATGTGTTCAGGATGTTCAAAGCAGCCACAACAGCACTCTGTCTGTCCCGAAACAAAGGCTCTCTTGCTTAGTATTACTCATTTTCAGTAGAAGGGTTGTTAAGTAATTCATTGGCAGGAGATAAGAGGACACAAACAGTTGTTTCCAGTTTCAAATGCACATGCTTTGTAAACCCAGCCATCAATCTGCTCTCTTACACTTCTTACGGAGTTCAAGGACATTTCATCTTCTTTGCATTTTTCTCCTGAATATAACACATGTTTTCAAGTCTTTTGACGAAGTTACTGTTTATGTTGTTGAGAAAGTACAAATATTGGATCGAGGAGGGATTTAAGAAGTAAAAAAACACCATATCTTACATCATAAAAACACAAACACTGCTCAGCTGCAGGAAAGTTGCAACTGAGACGAGACACACCAACTCAAGTATGCCGAGAAATACAAAGAGCGTTAAATTGCTGCAATCACCTTAATCGAAATTGCCTGACCTTGTTCCTTCATGGATAAAAGTGCTCCCGCTGTATCTCATTGGAATATGGTTTTAAAGCAGTCTTATACATGTTCATTAATTGAATGGGAATGGTGTTGGCCACTTACATTAAAACCCTGTATTGGTTTCCACAGAGGGCCATGCCTGGGTGTGCAGAATCAGGGGATTTCGTGCAGCTGCTGGGAGGAAGTGGCATCGACACATCGAAGCTGCTGCCCATCACAGACCTCTGCATCTCCTTCACTGGACCCAGTGAGTACACACTGATCTCCTCTCATGATACCAAACTGGTTGAACTGAGGCTAAACTAATCTGTTGCTGTGCCCTGCAGCCCACATGAAGATCGGCTGTGATAACACCGTGGTGAGGATGGTGTCCAGCGGGAACTACGTCAGCAGAGTGTCCTTCAGCTACAGAGTACTGGACAGCCAGGAGCTGCAGACCATCAAACTCAACAACGTGGAGGATTTCTGTTTCAACAACTGATCCCTGCAGGACCACAAAGTGACAAATGTATCATTTGACCGCAAACATTTTATCCCAATTATTTTATCAATAAAACAAGACATCCACCTCAGTCAGGCTCTCTGATTGGACAACATTGCCTGAATCCAGAGATATAGACAGAAAAGTGAATAATAATATAAACAAACACATTCATTTAGACTACCACATTTACTGGACTTCAGTTTTTGTTTTTATTCTTTCAGATTTAGCTTGAAGAAGTGTCCTTTTGCTTTCACTTTTGCTTTTTGTACAATTGTGTGTATTTATCATGTTTTATTGTTGTAATGTTACACATGGTCAACATTCTTGTAAAGGAGTGATTCTGAAATGAACGTCACATCTGTTCATTTTTCTGTATCATTTTGTCATATCCTGCCACTGATGATGCAGAGGGCATTTCAATGTTCAATATAATAAATACAAGTGTCCATTGCCATTGTAAAGTTACATTTGTATAAAATGTTTTTGTAATAAAATTATACTGCATGACAAAGCAATCAAATATGTTTCCTGTCTTAAAGTGTGCCGCAGTGAGAAACAAAGCAATGCACAACTTACAAAATCGAAAGTATTACGACATTGTATTAAGAGCAAGAACGGAATTTATATTTAAATATATTGTTAAAAAAGTATAATTCTCCACTCTGGGAAAGCTTTATGTTTGTGGAATTGAGATACGTTTCATAATAATATTATTTCTAAAGACAGAACAGACAGCAAATGAAAATGAACTTCAAAATCATTTTACGATCTCATCCATTTATTACATTTTTGGATATATATTCTATTCACTTATATTTAGATACAGGACAATCACCCTCTTCTGGCTGGTGGTGTTCAAAGGAAATTCCTGCAATATTCCTATTTTTTCTGATAATTGCGCAATGAAATTATTTTCAATACAGTAGTTTTGAGTGGAGAACCCTATTAGTGAGGTGTTCATTTCTCCACCTGTCAAGTTCTGTTCTGTTCAGGATTGCACTAAAATAACAGGACAGAAATTACATGAACTTTAAAGGCACCTTTTTTTGGTATTTTTGAAACATCTAAGTTAAAAAGACAAGGTTTTAACAAAGATGTCAGTTTGTGTTATAAGTCCATCTGTGATTAATTGGCATGTTTGCCTGGTGGGGGCCTTCTAACCATTTCTGCTACTGACAACCAAAACATGGCTGTGAATTGGAGCTCTATGCACTAATCACAACATTGATGGTAATGGCGTGGCTTTAGGAAATACATTGTTGGTTGGTTGGTCCATCATTGTGGTCCACACCCAAATATCTTATCTATTGGATGGATTGTCATAAAGTTTTGTACAGATATTCATGGTTCCCAGAGGATGAATCCTAGTGACTTTGGCGATTCTTCGACTTCTTTTCTATTATCACCTGCAGTTTAAACTTGCACAATATTTATTTTCTCTACCAAATACAAGCAAAACTATTGACATTCCTATCAGCCCTGGCTCTACTTTGTGTAAACGTGCTAATGAACAAATGTTGGCATACTAAAAAGCTAAAGAGAGAATGCAAACATGGTAACCATTACAAATACAAAGAAATACTACAATATACCAAAGTGGGATCAATAAAGTTCTATCTGATCTCTTATCTTAAAACCGCTAAATAGCATTGTGTGCTGTTGTCAGGGCCGTCCCTGGCCAACATGAGGCCCCACGCAAAGTTATATGATGAGGCCCTCTGTTTCGCAAGCGTCGACGGGGGGGGGGGGGGTGCTAATGGAGCCTCGCAGTGGCGACACCGTGCCGCGCCACACTAATTGCGCCGCATAAACGCAGAGGTGCGCCGCATTTTCGGCTCAGTTGAGGCACCCGCCGTAAGATGAGGCCCCCTCCGCAAGGTGAGGCCCCACGCAGTCTGCATGATCGGCCTGTAGGGAGGGACGGCCCTGGCTGTTGTAGCATTTAGCTCAAAGCACTGATATGCAAAATGACTGTGAACTCTTTTACTTGTGGGTTAGGGGGAGGATGTAAAGATGTAAAAATAGTCAATGACCAGCTGTCTTAATACTTTACACTCACTCAGTTATTTGCAATAATATACAAATAAACATCCATTCACTATTAATGCACATTCCATATATTTCACAATTTGCTCATGTCTCAAACAACCAAGAGACCTTTCAGGTTATCATGGAGCACGTGCCACTCCCCCCCTCCCCCCTTCACGTCTTTTATGACTAGTTCTGGTATATAAGCGCCCCTCAATGTCACCACAGAGAAAGCAGCAGGCGATATCTCTGAAATGATGGTTTGAATGGAACAAACCAATGGGGCAAGCAGTGATTAAAGGCCTGCAGGTGTATTATCATCGACACACACCTGCAGCCACAGCTGGTGATGAACGGGTGTGTGATGACCTCCGACTGCGGAAATCCACGTGTGTATCCACATACTGTAAGAGTAAGCACCTCTAGTGAGCTTTTACTCATTTTAATTTTAATATCATAGGACATTCATTAAATCCCATAAAAAGCAACAACAATGTGTTTGTCCATCACTCTAGTTAGGTCCAAGCCCATTCACTACCACCAAGAAATTGAACAGCAACATGTAGAAATAAAAAGACAAAATTGATTTTCAGCAGGACAGCATCATTTGTCTGTTCACATGTTCAGTTTTTTGATGTGAAAATGCTTTGGTAAAGGCCTAGGAAAATACAAAATAGAAGATATACCAGGCTTTGGATATACTACAATAACTGTTAGTAGGATCATATCAGTGGTGTTTTTAGTCTTTCACTTTGATTTTTTGACAATTAGAAAATTATAATATCACAAGCCTTATCCTCTAAAACATTCTTCAAGTTTATATAGTTCTATATTTCATACATTTCGATCTTTGTACATTTTATTTATTTGAATGTACATTAAAAATAATGGGCTAATTTAGTGGAATATCTGTTGTTCCACGTCACTCAGGCAGCTCCACGACGAACAAGCCTGTTGAATACACCAATGAATAAGTTACAAAAACATGATCTATCTATAGGATATAATTCATTTTTAAAAATATTTTATATAGATAATTAATATGTTTTTCTTTACATTATAAGTAGAGGCCGGTTCCCACGCTGTACATCAGTCACCTTGATGTCATATACTACAAAACTGTTGAAATGTATCCGCATGTTTTCGACTGACAGGCTTACTGTGATGATGACGGTTTGATTGAAAACCTTTCTTACTCCACAGATTGAGAAAATCAAGCGTGACATTTGAGTCTGACCTTTCAAAAAGGCTTAATTATCAATACTTTGTCAATCGCTCAGCAGGGGCTAAAAAGCGGATGCAGACACTCGATATTGTGAGAGCCGTGCCTCTCATAACTTCATACTAATGACTCATGAATTCTTCAGCAGAACTTAAATCGGTGCATATTTAAGAAAAGTTATTCTAATAATGTTTGTCTAGGGTTTTTTTGTTTTGTTTAGAATGTTTATTTTCCATTTGCTAATACATTTCTATATTATTAACTTACTGATTAGTGGCTGGCATTGCTGATTTTTTAAAGAACCTTTATTTTTGGTGATGCCTTTTAGGGACATTTCTTGTTCTTCTTGTTTCTATTTCATGGATTACAATGGATCTTGTTTGTGTTGCCTATGGGATCAACCTTAATGGCTTTTCCTCTTGCGTCACCATGACGTTCACACTTTTTTGGCTGTCCCCCACAAGATGAAATGTAATATCTTCGGTGATCCCTTATTTTTCATCGGGTGAAAAATAATCCATTTGTCATTGGTCCAAGTACATAACTCATGAGTGATCATGGAAGTATACTCTGTGAAAGTATACTCTGTAGTATAGAAAGCTTGTGTCTCGCATTATGCTCAATAAATGTCTATATCCTGTCAACATGGTGTGCAGCTGTGTAACTCTTGTTCTGATAAAATGCTTTAATCCACAAGGACCATACCGCATTCGATATCATCACACACACGCACGCACGCACGCACGCACGCACGCACGCACGCACGCACGCACGCACGCACGCACACACACACACACACACACACACACACACACACAGGTCAGTCTTAATGAGGGCGATGACGCACAAAGTGACGAACAGTAGGATGGACAGCATGTGGGAGATGATAGCTTGAGGCATATTTTTGAAGACATTTATTGCAGGTAGCAGCCTGATTTGGATGATTGACACTTGGACTAGGGAGAAAACTGTGCTATGCCTGACAGACATGATACATATTGATATATACTGTATACTGAAATGAATTAAGGAAATCTCCATATTTCTTCATCGTGTCCCTGCTTTCTACTCTACTTTTTTTGGGACATTTCCTTTTTATTCACTTCATGAAGTTAAAAAAACCTACATAGTGCTCTTACAGGCATTATGCTTTATGTTTGTGGCATGTTTAACAGACACAATTATTATTTATTTTGCCTTTTTCTGTCCTTTCCAGTTGATCCTTTGTCTAATTGTACGTTTTCCCATCATCCTCCTTCTTTCTGAGGGGTCAATGAAACTTTCCTTATTTGTTTTCTTTAGTTTAAGTATTTATCTGCCCTTTTCTGTATGGCTATTCAACGTTGATTTCTTGGAGTCATGAAGCAGACACTGGGAATACACATTTCTCAGTAAATAACAGACCAGTTAATGTATTTATTGTCTGATATAAAAATCTGCCAAATGTTTGCGTGAAACACAAATTATCCCTATTTATTCCAAATGACGTTGATCTGTAGATATTTCAAATGACTCGTGCTGGAAACAGTTGCATGTGGACATAAGGTGTTAGCTCTTTTGTCTTAAGCCTTTTTTAATTGCCAGTAATTCCCCCCTCCCACACTTAGCAGACATCATGATTATACTGATTTCAATTACCACCAGAGATGCTCACGACATATGACTCAAACTATACGATGGGTGGGAAAGGTCTCCTCTGCTGGAGACCAGTTCCTGAACATGACGTTTGGTAACAGGAAATGAGGAGACAGTTATTTTGAAGAGTCTGTGTGAAAGTAGAGGGTGAGATTATAAATAATCACATTTTAAAATGATCAAATGACACTTGTAATTGATTGCAACCTTTTAAAAATGGAAAAAGAAATACATAATTACTGCATGGCATCTTCCCAAGGGAGATATGCTGATTATCCTGCTCGATTACAGCCAATCAAAGACAAATTGCATTGTAACGGTGAGCGTTTGTGCAAGCACCATCTGCGCACATAAAAGCATCACACTTGCCACTGCACATGCTTTCAGTAATTTCCCCCCGCCCCACGTCACAGCTAAGAATGTCATCGCAAATTAACTGCCTGCTTGGGTATTCTGGGAAAAGGCACATACAGAGGAAACTCCTCAGTAACAGCAGCTTGAGCAAACACTTTTGTCCTCCCCAAGGTGACAATATCAGCATTACTGCCGGAGGGTAAGACATGTCCGAGTGATTGGCAGACGCTCCTAGACCCAGGTGGTCCGAGCGTACAGGGACCGCCATGTGTCATTAAAACTGTTAAATGTCCAGTGAGTGCCTAATAACAGCACACGCCCTCACACACTCTCATAATGCACTCCAGAGGAGTACTGCATTTTATACTGGTTTACTTCCACTCTATCACATTTCAGAGAGACTTGATGTACGGTTTCTCTACTTTAGTTAATATTCGTACTTTAGGAATACGATTTTAACATGAAAACGATTGAGCATAAAACAATTTTTTTTCTTGTTTTTGGCTACAAACCCCTTGCAAGAAAGACACAATACCCCACCCAAATCAGTTGCTTTTATCAGTTTTGTTTTACCAGAACATCCTTTTTTAGGAGATGTCCCATCAGTTGATCTTGTGTCTTATGAAAGTACATTTATTCAAGTACTGAGCTTGAATACACATTTGAGAAACTTGTACTCTACCCAAGTATTCATTTTATACTACTTTGTGCATGTGCATGTGTGAATATATAACTGTGTGTATTTGTATCTGTATGTGCATGTGTGCACACAAAACACAACTGTGTGTGCATGCATGTACCATATAAGAAGAATGTGCATGTATACAAAAAAACTTAGTGGAAAACTGAATTTCCCCCTCGGAGGATCAATAAAGGTCCATCTTTACTTTAAACTAGTCTGCTACATTTTGGAAGCCAATTTTGTACTTTTACTGCACTACATTTATTTTAAAGATGTATTTACTAGTTGCTTGATAATCTCAGATTTTGACACACAATGCTTAGGAAAAACGTATCAAATATGAATATTTTTTATCTAGATCAAACCATCCAACATTATATTAAAGTAACTAAAACCACGAGTCGGTTAACTAATAATTTATTGGCAGCAAGAAGTTTTTTGTTAAAAAATATTTCACATTTCCATCTTCTTAAATGTGAAGACATGCTGCTTTAGAATATTTTAAACGTTTTTTCTGCAATTGGTATTTTTACACACGTTCATTTTCCTAATCGTACTTAAATACTTTTACTTACCATTCTCGATGCAGTACTTTTAATTGAAATGTAGTATTTTTACAGTGTGGTATTAGCACTTCTACTCAAGTTAAGATTTTATTATAATACATTATTTTGTCACACACTGTAAGTTGTTATTTGGAAAGACTGACTCAGAACTTTAAAGTTTTCCAAAGAAATCTTCTAAAATATCAGTATATCTAAGGAAAGAACTAACAAAACACCATTTTGAAGCTATAAACTTCACTGACTGAACATCTGAAAACGTAAACACAACAGTTGGCCTATCCACCGAGATGCTGTGCATGTTTTAATGACCTAACATGAGGGAAAGCGTGTCCCTCCTCAGGGAACTCAGACTGACAGCAAGACGGACAAGGGACAGAAATATCTCCTCTTAAATGCACCATCTGGCTGTGAAAACGCCTCCAAGGACAAGTGTGGAGTATTTAACTTTTGACATTTTAGGGACGAATACAAAACGATGACAAAGGTTTAAAGACACATTTTATAGATGACAAAGATGACTTTTAAAGGTTAATGCCATTCAATGAATCGTCAGTAATGACCTGGACGTTCTTTGACCGTCAAGACAAAACTAGGAGAGACGACAAGTATTTTAAAAATACAATGACACCATATTCATTTTCCTTTTTTATTTCCAAGTAACAATGATAACGCTAATATAAACACTACTTTAATTTGGATCAGAAGAAGCTCTGCATTTAGACCAGTGATTCTTGAGACATGGGATAATACACATCCTGCATTTATTGCAGCTTTTAGGTTTTAAAATTCACATATTTCCCACCTAAGATCACAAAGTCGTTGTTTAACAGCTCCAGGCTGAATTTGGTACCAACATTTTCTATTGTGACTTCGGGGTAGAGTGTCTACTTCCTAAGTATTACATTCACAATGCTACATACTTGGGGTATCCTAATATAACTTATTCTACTGACGGGACATTTACTGTTCTGTTTTTAATTGCACGACATTGACAAGATTTACAGGTAGTGGATTCTTTCTGTAGACGTCTACTCCTTTTTCTTCTGCTGCTCTTGGAAGAAGTCGTTGCAGGCAACAGTCAGAGCGGCCACCAACACCACAAACTCATTGAAATCCACCTCGTTGTCTTTGTTAGAGTCCAGGTCATTCATGATTTTCTCCACCAGCATCGGATCCTTCTGAGACTAGAAAATGGAAAATTAAAAGAAAATATTAGCCCAACCAAAGAATCGGTTTTGTGGCTCGTAGTATTTCTATTATTCCCCTGTAAAATAGGACTTGTCACTAATCGTATTGACACTTCAGATCACTGTTCTAGCCATTTTGGGTCATAATATAGGAAATATCAGTATTTCCATGTTAAGTTACACCCCTGTAGTTATTGGATAGTTATTGGAGCTTCATGTTGCCTGGAGGCAGATGCGTCCATGCGTGTCCAGCAGAGAGCAGAGTGATGTCGCGGCTAAATGAGCCCTGAGCTGCCGCTCATCACACTCCACAAAATGTATTGCTTTTGCTCATTTCCTCCAGGATTGAGAAACAAGACATGGCTTTCCTCTTACACCCTCTAAACCTCCAAGGCACCGGTGATCTTTACGCCGTTTAACTCATTGAAGTAACATTTTGTGGCAAAGGTTCAAATTAAAATACAGTCTACACTAAGGGCAAACCCTCATGGGAGTTATTTATTTCATTTCTAATAGTCAAAAATACTCAAAGATCAATTAAAAAGCTGTTTGAGTTAAGGTGAAATGAGAAAAAATGCTAAACAATATTCTACATTTCTTATCAAAAGATTCCTATCAGGACTTCATAACAAAATCTATATATTTTTTGTTATTTACTTTTTTTTAAAGTTGAATTTCATGCTTTCTCCTTAAGTAAAATAATAAATATAAAAATAAAAATAGCCTAGATCAAATCAAATTTTGGACAACTATAAGAAGATTGACTATTTCAGATTGTTATATATATATATATGTAAATAATGTGTATACTTATACAGTATATTCCAATATATATAGAATACAAAATTAATTAATGGCAACATCTTTCATCTATGTTGCTCTGTCGAATATATCTCATTTCCATTTAGCCTTGTGGACATTTTTCAACAAAATGGTAAAAAACATGTTTATTATCATCTTTTAAGAGAGACACTTGATAAATAAAAGAAAGTTGGACAAATTCTTTAATATTAAATATTTGAATGAATAAAAACAATAGTTGTAAAATAAAATTAAATGATAATAAAGATACCAGTCCTGAACCGAGAGCCAACTTGATCTAAACTCAAATTGAAATAATGATACAAAATTATTGAAAAAGTCAAATAGCCTGCCATGGGAGCATCTTTTTAAAGCCACCAGTCATTTCTAAACTAATACATATACAGTGATGCATCCAGCCTTGGTTTGGGAGTGTCAGTGTTTTCTGTCGGAGGAAACTGAGTTCAAATGTTTGGCTGCTCTCAGGGGGGAATGTAGCCCGAGGGGATGTGGTGACGTCACGGCGGTGTCTATATTTGGAGGCAATACGGGCCACTGATGTTGATGTGTGAGCACCTGAGGCTCCCCAACCGCATGAGGGAGGAACAGAAGTGGAAATAAAAAAATCTATCTGAAGACATCGGAGGTTTGACTCTCAGGCCTCGTCCGCTTTGTGTTGGTCTCAATCATGTGAAATCTGGTACAGGCGGCTATCACACGGACCCAGGGGCCGGGGCTTATCTGAAATGGCCTCATCTATCTCCCGCTGCACATCCTTTATTTCGCACGCTGCTATGACGTGAGAGCCAGCAGCAGTGTTACTCTGACAGCTGGATAGCAATCAATGAGAAAACAATTTCCTGAGACAAGGTCACAATGCTCCTCTGTAAACCTCACAAAACATGGTTATTTCATTTAACTTTAAAGCGAGTCAGCAACAGCGAAGCATCGTCCATTGGTCACTATAGATCCACTGAGGAAATGAAGGAGATGCAAAGGCCACACTTTGGTAATCCAACACACTTCCAATGAGATGACGTTCCTGGGGATAGGCTAAGAAATATCTGAATGAATCTGGAGTCACGTATCCTTTAACACTGCAAGAACAATAAATGCTATATAAATCAGTCTCTGACTGAAGCTTTATGCTAAAACTTTGTTATGTTTCTCTTTAGTTCCAATACGACTATGGCATTGTATGTGAGAGTAACTTACAGCAAGTATTTGTCAAGAAAGCACTCCCACACACAAAAAAAAGGTATCATGATTAACTCCTACTATTTAAACATGCACAAGGAATTAATGTGTTTATTTTTTGGAAAGATCAACATAATTAAAGTCACCAAGTTGCTAATTAGAATAAATATATTAGCAAACAGAGCAAAAATGCTTAACGCAGTATTATTCAAATAATTCAGCCAGTTGAAATAACAGCTAATAACTGAAAATATGTTGTCATCTGACATGTAATGAAGCTCTTTTACTTCCCTTGCTTCATTTTTGTAAAGCAAAAAAGATAATGACATGGGCAGAGCAAAAGGCCTACAACTAACTTCTACCATTATTCATTTTTTAAAGGATCCTCCCAAGCTATTATTTTGTACTTGTAGGTTATAAGCGTATCCCTTTTTTAAACTAATTGTATTTAAATAAACAATTAATGAAATCAACTTCCTTATAGATGTTGAAATGTCCACTAACCGTGAGGAAGTCGGTGAGCTCGCTGTTGAGGAGCTCCTTCAACTCGCCCTTGTTGAGCTTGTATCTGTCTCCATCGTTTCCGGAGTAGTTGTAGAAAACCGTTATCAGTGCATCCATTGCACCCTCCAGCTGGCTCGGCATTGCAGCTTCCTGACCATGAAAATGTCATTAAATATAATAAACTAATACTTCAATACAGTAAGAAACAAAAATGTCCATGTGAGAAGTGTCCTTACCTGGTTAGAGTCCTGAACAGATGAGACGAGAGACGTTGCAGCAGAGCTTGTTTATGAGGAAATGAGCAGAAGCTTAGAGAGCCTTCCCCTATCTTTGCGCTGATAATTAATTCCACAGGTGAGATGCCCATGGTAACTGTGTTTTTTTCCAGGTCTAAATCTGTTAAGTGAAAAACAAAGCCTGTACCAGTGTAACCCTGAAACCCTGTGGGAGTTCATCGGCAATGCAACGGCTTTCACACCTGTCTGAATCCCTTACATCCCTGAAGTCACTCCAGCAGTACTTCCTCAAAGGAGGATGTGTTAAGAGATCTACGTATATTCATCTTTAAGGAAGATTGTTTTATGTGTTCGTAACAATGCTAGAAGCACATTTACACTCATCTTTTAATGATTCCATGCCTGGCCTGATATGTGTCATCTTCAGGAATGGTTAATGGGAGCTAACACTAGGGAAATATATTAATTGAAATAAATGTAAATTAGGAATCTAAATCAGTCACCCAATAGCCTTATCTACAGTACAGTGTGGGAAAGTAGCTTGAATTCAAATGCATTTTCTTTGATATTGCAGTGATAAATCAGTACAACGATGTGAAGGGTCACACTGAGATATGGGGATATTTTAGTGTACTATAAATGTCAACACAATGCATTTTTGCTATTTCCGCTTTAGGGAATAGTCCCAAGACAAATAAGGAAGGGAATTGTGAGCATCCCTTGCCCAACTCTGTCTAAATACATAGTTTTGGAAAGGAAGGAAACGTAATAGTTGCTTGGTTTTCATTAGGTGGCAACTATTTATTTTTTATAAAAGGTGGTGGTCTGGCCGATGGTTGTCGTAAAACATCAAGGGCCTTGATGCCAAAGAGTGTGTGATAAGGTTTATGCAACAAATAAACTTGGTTAGGGAAATCATGTTATTTCAGGTAAATCTCTTATTATAGGTACATTTGGAAACGCATTGTTTCTCATGCATCAAATCTCTTTTTTTTGTATTTTAACCAGACTGCAAAAAATGTAAACATTACTACACAAAATGACCAAAAGGAAAGGACTAAAGATAACAACCGTTGAACTCAAAAAGGAAAAAGCTACGCCAGATAAGCAATCAGCTACTGTGTTTTCTAACTGTAACTCCACCCTGATTCTCAACACCGGAGCCCCTCAAGGCTGTGTGCTCAGCCCTCTCCTCTACTCCCTGTTCACCCACGACTGCGTGGCCACACACAGCTCCAACACCATCGTGAAGTTTGCTGATGACACGACCGTCATCGGCCAGATCACAGACGATGACGAGACGGCGTACAGAGAGGAGGTCGAAAACCTGACATCTTGGTGCCAGGATAACAACCTCCATCTCAACATCAGCAAAACAAAGGAGCTGATTGTGGATTACAGGAAGCAGCAGGGAGAGGGACACGCCCCCATCGCCATCAATGGGACTACGGTGGAGAGTCAAAAGCTTCAGGTTCCTTGGGGTCCACATCACTGAGGACCTGACATGGTCTCTTCACACCACCACCATCACCAAGAAAGCTCGACAGCGGCTCTTCTTCCTCCGCAGGTTGAGGAGGTTCAAAATGGATTCCAGGATACTCTGCAACTTCTACAGGTGCACGATAGAGAGTATCCTGACTGGCAGCATGACGGCCTGGTACGGCAGCTGCACCGACCTCGATCGTAAGGCTTTACAGAGGGTGGTGAAAACTGCACAGAACATCACCAGGACGGAGCTGCCATCCATGGAGGACCTTTACTCCCAGCGGCTCAGGAAGAAATCACTACGGATTATCAAAGACCCCCATCACCCCAGCCACAAACTGTTCTTTCTGTTGCCGTCTGGCAGACGTTACCGCAGCATCCTGGCAAGGACAAGAAGATTCGGAGACAGTTTCTTCCCGCGGGCAGTGAGACTGTTAAAAAATTGAACTGTTGAAACAACTTCAAAACATTCATCTGCTACTCAGTATTATGTATCTAATACCTAATATATATATATATCATTCCAATAACTTGTATATAGACTTGTACTGCACTATTCCACATCATCACTTTATTTTATAACTATTTTTCTTTTTGTATTGCTCTTGCTCTTATTGTTATTATGTTATTATGTTGCATTGTTGGAGAAGCCTGTGACATAAGATTTCCAACTACATAATTACTCTGTAGCTATGTCAGATTGACAATAAAGAACCTTGAAAATAAAATATGTTGTCACTAGACATCATGTAATTATGTTCCTCAAAAATTATTTGTGTTTCTCCTAAAACATATTGCACATGATGCAAATTAGTTAAAAAAAGCTCATTTCTAGAAGACATGTTTCCCAATGGCCACATTCAAGGTTCAAGGTTCTTTATTGTCAATCTGACATAGCTAGAGTAATTATGTAGTTGAAAATCTTATGTCACAGACATCTATAGTCCATTGATTTTGAGTTGTGTGTACTTTACCCGACAAAGAGTCTTTTGTGTTTTCTTCTTAGGCAGACTCTGGTTTCACTTCATATCAGTAAAATAAATATAACTCGTAGTGACTTGCATTGCTTGCCAGCAGGCCACCATTCTCTCATTCCCACCTTGCGACTCAAACTCCTCATGTTTCCATTGTACAGATTATTTTTAGCAACGGCATCCTTGGTCGTTCTGTGTCCTACGGTCGCTCTCACACACATAGTCCCTCCTCCGTCACTGAGTCATACCTGCCAGTGGAGAATAACACTCCGATCAGCCCTCAGCCCCCGAAGACTACTCCTGAGGGACATTAGTTATCAGGTGTCACCAAAGCTTTTCTTCCACATGCAGCCACTGCAAAGGAAAAAATAGGTTTCCATTTATTAAGATGATGAAACAGTTTCTCATCACAGCAGCTAATAGTGACTGTTGGAAGGAAAGTCATCCATTAAAACACCACATCCAACACTGAAAGGCTTTCAAATAATTTTAAAACAATAATTCCCAACTAAGACAACAGCAAAAAATGTGCAATTCATCAGCAGTTTAGTTACATTTCTAAACAAATATTATCGCAGGTCAGTCTCAGTTAAATGAAAGACATGTTTATAATATTAATCTGAGTATGTCTACCCTCAAACGGTATACATAAAACACAAGACTCCTTTCTACATTAATTTCATTTCAATATTTTGAGAGAAAACTAATTTGTTTTGCATGTGGGAGCCTGTATCTTTTGAAAAATATGCATTGTAAAGCCGTCCTAGAGATCTTTAAGGTGACGAAATGCTTGCCTCCTATCTTGAAAGATGATCATGGAGCATAATTTTCTGTTCATCTTCAATGTCACTGCAAAAACAATAGACCATATTTATTTTGTTTGCACCTAAGCCTTTTCCTGCTGCAATAAGACAAGCAACACATTTATAATGAGCACATTTGTATTCAGTAATATCTAACTACATTTTTTAATTTTTAACGAAGATTGTAAAAGTTAATCAAATGACTAAACTGTTAACTTTCTGCACTTCTGTCTTTGCCTTTTAGGGCACCATTCTTACATACTTTTTAGTACAATAGGTGTCCCTTTTAGTTTTAAGTGACATTTTTGCATTTTGTTTCTATATCTATATAACAGTTACTACATAATTGAATATGGACGTTCATTATATATAATTCACTTTGGTGATTATCTAACTTTTAATAAACTGTTCAAAAGTGTTACTTTTCCTATAGGCTACTGGTTTATTAGCTTATCACCAATCAGAATCAGAATCAGAATCAGAATACCTTTATTAGTCCCACAGAGGGGAACTTTGCATCGTTACAGCAGGAAAGAGCCACAGACAGCTTAATGTTACCAATGTTAAGAAAAAAGTACTAAGTTATGATATAATACAAATATTATATAAAAAAGAAAAGTAAAAGAAAAATACTTTCCAAAATACAAATCCTGTAACAGTTCTTAGGATTTAGCAGCCAGGGGTGATATAGTCTGTGTTGTGGTCATAGACTGTATATATAAAGGTTGTGGTGTGTGTAGGGGAGGGGGGGTCTACTAGGGGCTGTGCTGGTTGTATAGTCTGACCGCTGCAGGAAGGAAGGACCTGCGGTACCTGAAACTAATAATGTCATGCCAAACAGCAATATCTCCACTTTTTGTTTACTGCTAATTAGCCAATGCTAGCATGCTAACACACCAAAATAAGATGGTGAGCATGTTAAACATTCCACCTATTAAACATTAGCATATTAGCGTGCTACTGTTAGCATTTAGCTCAAAGCTAGCTACAAACGTCCTGAGTAGGCTACTGCCTGTTAAAACAAAACAAATGTGTCCCAGGAAAGGTGTAGAACGGGAAGAAGAGTGAGTATCAAACCTAAAACTGGAGATGTGGAGCCCAGTAGAGAGACAACAGGAGGAGGTGGCTGATATTTAAAAGCTTGGTGAAGGCCAGCAGTGCCATGTGCCACCACATCAGGTTCACACCCCACCCCCTGCAGGAGATGACAGGGGAGACACTTTTTTTCACTGTGTGAGATCAAACATGCAGGTCTCAGACTGACTCTCTATTCTCAGGTTCTCTCACACTCCTCTGCTGTGGTGACTGCAGGCTCTGTGTTGACCTGCACCTGTTCCTGTTCCTTTCATACCTAAAGTGATGTTCACACATGCTGTCACACAGCTTCAAATAGCCTTACACAAAGACAGAAGTATACTGAAATAATTGAGGCAGAGCCATTTCCACAACTCTGTTTCTCTGTCCATGGCTCCATATAACCATCTCTTGCACAACAGTTAAAAAACTAGAGAATGCAATTCCTGAAGAAATTGCTAGTGGGAATGCTTTATGCTGAAAAGCTGATGCTGAACTGCTATGCTGAAATGTAATGTAAGAAGAAAGTGAAGAATTTAGACTGAAATGATACATGAACACTGGGGGCTTGAATGTGTGATAAGAGAAGAAAAGAAAGTAAAAAAGCTTGGAAAAGCAGCAGAATATTTGAACTAACTTGATGGCGAATGATCTGTCGCCATGGCAATGGTATTTGATGACACCCCATAATATGCTGGCCCTAGACATTTTGGTGCCCTAGGCCAGTGGTTCCCAACCTGGGGGGCGCCAAAGATCGCAGGGGGGGCGCCAGGTCTCAGATGATTTGAGGCCAAATATCATATTTAGACTTTTCTTTTTTTTTTTCTTTTTTTTTTACATATAATTGTAACGCAATTCATGATTGTCACTAAAAGCCTTGTCTCTACATTACAATAACATATACAAAATTATTGATTAATTAATTTGAATAAAAATTCAAGTTAGTAGCTATTATAGGCATAACAAGACAGAAATGTATAATTCTTTCTTTAATAGAAATGTTTCTTCTGCCCGTAAAGTGTCCAAACCAGGCTTTTCTGGATAAGCGCATTTTTAAAACATAGTCATTGTCCGTGCCGGTTTCAGATTATTTGTCACAGTTGCTCCGATCAGATCGGTCTCCTCCATTTTGTAGATTATTTACAACTTTTGTATCCACATAAACACATCGGCAAAATCCGGCTTACTTTGAGCATGTGTTTTAAACAGTTTAATCCCTTTGTGAATTGTTTCCACTTGCGCCGTCCTTTAATTTCTTCATACAGCAAGGCAAGGCAAGGCAAGGCAATTTTATTTATATAGCACTTTTCAGCACGTGGCGATACAGCGGGAATCCAAATTAATTAATCCTGAGTCCAATAACCATCAAAGTCACTCTAATAGTGCTCCTTGATTACGCTTTCATCCTCCTTTAACAAAATACTTCACATTCATCCAGTTTGTGACAGTAGTTGAAGCATTTTTGAGACTTTTAAACTTTAATTACCGCTGTTGCTGTTGTGTGTGTGTGTGGGGGGGGGGGCGCAACTTCCAACAGGAGTCATTTGGGGGGGCTCTTGGGAAAAAAGGTTGGGAACCCCTGCCCTAGGCGAGATTATGATTTGAAGCCCCCCCCCCCTCCAAGCAATACACAACGTTTACATTGTTCTGAATGAGAGATAAACCTCTTACATGTGAGCGTTTTGTTGAAGAACCGTAACAGATATCGGTGAAATTTCAATGCGTGAAGCATCTCAAGGACCTTGAGCATCTGAAGTGTGCTTTTTGTGTACTTTCGGATTAATAATGTGGCCTTTTTGGCAGATTAACTAAAGGTGTGTGGCTGCTGCTGTGAGGAAAGATGAGCCTGAATGTACAATGGGCTTTAATGGAGAAATGTTCAAAGTTTTTGTCACTTCATGCCCTCAAGAGGCATTTTGTTAAATTGTTTTGCTTAATTTATTTTTATTTTTCAAGCTACGACATGTTTTCCTACGTTTCTCATGAAAAATTATGTCTCAGGAATGTAGGGTTTGGGAATTATGGCAGGTTTAAAAAAAAATATGAAGGCAAATTTCAAGCTGTCCTCCACTCTAGTCATGATCAGTGTAAACAGCTGCAGGAAGTTTTCTCACTGTCTGAACCAGTTTGACTTACGTTTTTTAAATAAATATGAATATTGTGTGATAAAGGCCTTTTTTATTTTTTATAATAGTTGGATGTGTTGTATTAGGATCCGTGTCTTTTTCATTTTATGTTTAATGTATTGCTTTCATGTTTGTAAAAACAAAAAGGGCAATATACACTGAATGTGATTACTCTTCAGTACAGAACATTGTGTTTTTAATAACAAACGAGCATACAAGCCAGTCAAGCAAGCAGCCAGAAAGTGAGGTGATATTTGGAGATGGTGGTGGCAGGTCTCCGGATGTGTGCTCTCCCTCGGGATCGAATGGAGGAGACTCTCACACATTGTCATCGTCTCCTCAGACACCAAGTACTACATGTTAGTGATGTGAGGGTTCCACAGTGCCCTCACATCAAAAGAACTTCCACTTCTCATTTTCTGTATACCAACAACTGTCTGGTAGGTGGTAACACAAAACCAAAAGTAGGTTTGTGAACGTCTGTATCGACTCAAACAGGCATTAAAGCAACTTCTTCTTATTGTTTTTGACAATGTGCAAACAGCCGTACTCGGTTTTAAAAATGGTCAATACTTTTGTATCTTAGGAGTCAATAAGTCAGTGGCCAGTTTTTATACATGAGTTATTTTGGACTGTGACTTTGACAGTTTTTCCTCTGGGTTTAATTTGACTTTGAGCCTGAAGCAGATCTCACTGTGTTGTCAATTAATCAGTGACCTCTGTAATCTAATAGGCCCTTTGCATTTTGACTCTTCAAATATGTTATTGATTGGTTACATATTGTAACCAGCATAGTGGCTGTGAAAAAGAGGAAGAAATGTCCTCAGTGCACCCAATGTTGGGTTCTCTACCTTGTCTTTAGAGTAAGATTGGTAAAACTATTTTCAAATCCAGTTGCATTTCTTCTCATGCGAGTGTCATCTGTAGCTGTGTCTTTGGTGAAGAATGGATTTTTACTGCCCTCTATTGGCTGATCAGTGGCATCAGAAAGTGTGCTGGTCATACAGTTTGTGTTCCCCCAGTGTTGTAACTGCACACACTACTTTTGTATCCTGTCTCTAAAATACCTTTTAGTTATAAGTCTGTGACTAATGTCCACACTGACTTTGAATGCTCCTCTCTGTGAAAAACGTATATTGCAACAAACCCGCGATGTAAGGCAATGATGCAATTGTATTTATCATGATTAAATGTAGTTCTAACTATTGTTTTCTGAGGACCATTTGAAAATGTTTCTATATTTTGCATTATTGTACTAATTCTTTTAGTATACTAGTCATAAGTTACATTTTTGTTTAATAATAAGTGCTGGAAAAAGCACTCACATTTGTA